GATCCAATTTTGACTCCGTCACATGATAATATGCAGTTGAGCCAAACACGTGCAAAGAGTCATTATCTAAAGCAGGCTTTCCATACCATTTTTTAAATGGTGTCTTGCCATCAATAGTAGCAGATGGTAAGCGATTAATGAGGTGGCATGCATATGTAACTGCCTCAGCCCAAAATTCTTTGCCCAAGCCAGCATTGGACAACATACACCGTACCTTCTCCAGCAAGGTCCGGTTCATACGTTCAGCCACTCCATTCTGTTGTGGTGTATGTCTGACAGTGAAGTGTCGGACGATGCCATCATTTTGACAGACCTTATTGAAATGATCATTTTTGTATTCACCTCCATTGTCTGTGCGAATACACTTGATCCTCCTGCCTGTTTGATTCTCCACCATCGTCTTCCATTTGAGAAAAATTCCCAGCACTTCATCTTTGTTTTTCATTGTATACACCCACACTCTTCGAGAAAAATCATCAACAAAGGTTACAAAATAGTGCTTCCCACCCAATGAAGGTGTTTTGGAAGGACCCCAAACATCAGAGTGTACATAATCCAAAATGCCTTTAGTATTATGGATCGCTGTACCAAATTTAACCCTTGTCTGTTTCCCTTTAACACAATGCTCACAAAACTCCAAGTTGCAAGCCTTTACTCCTTTTAACAATCCTTGATCTGATAGAGTTTTCAAGGATTTTCCTCCAGCATGTCCCAAGCGCATGTGCCATAGCTTGGTTGCTTCTGCCTCTTTGTCGTCACTGGATGTCACTGTCGCTGTCCCAATAACTGTACTGCCACGATAGCGGTACATATTATTATTCTTCCGATTAGCCTTCATTACCACTAGTGCACCGGAGCATACTCTCATCACTCCATTTTCTGCAATGATTTTGAACCCTTTTGATTCTAGGGCTCCCACAGAGATGAGATTCTTCTTCAAATCCGGTACATATCGAACATCTATCAATGTTCTGATCATTCCATCATGGTTCCTTAATCGTATTGAACCAATGCCATATGAGGTAAGAGGGCTGTTATCCGCTGTGTGGATGACTCCATATTCTCCTTCTTGAAATTCCACGAACCAGTCCCTGTTGGGACACATATGATAGCTACAAGCCGAGTCCATCAACCATATGTCTGATGATGTTGATGACTCTGTTGTAACTAATGAGAAGTCTGAATCATCACAATCAGCTACATTTGAATCCATAATGGCCTTTCCATTGTTATGTTTGGCCTTATTCTTCAACTTCGGACAGTCTTTCTTCCAGTGCCCTTTTTCTCGACAAAAGGCACATTCATCTTTGCTGGGTCTGGATCTTGACTTGGATCTTCCCTTCTTTGTCCTCGTTTGATTTTGAGGACGACCCCTCACAAATAGTGCTTCTCCTTCTCCGCCCTTCTGTTTTTCTCGCTTTCTTTGTTCATAGCTGTACAAAGCCGAACAAACTTCTCTGAGAGAAACTTCGTCATTTCCATGGAGTAGAGTAGTTTCAAGGTGCTCGTACTCATCAGGAAGTGACGCCAACAACATCAAGGCCAAGTCACCATCATCATAAGTTGTATCCATATTTTGCAAATCTGTGACCAACTTATTGAAACTGGTGATATGTTCATTCATCGTGGTACCAGGAACATAGGTGAAGTGAAACAGTCTCTTCTTCATGTACAATTTATTTTGACTGTTTTTCTTCAAAAATTTATCCTCCAGTGCTTTCCATAATTTACTTGCAGAAGTTTCCTTTGTGTATGGATATTTCTGCTCTCTAGCAAGGTAGGATCGAATGGTACCGCAAGCAACACGGTTGATAATTCTCCAATCTTCTTCTCCAATAACATCTGGTTTCTTTTCTTCAATGGCCAGATCTAGCCCTTGTTGAAAAAGGACATCTAGAACCTCGCCTTGCCACATCCCAAAATGTCCGGACCCGTCAAATATTTCTACCGCAAATTTCGCATTTGACACAATTCTTGTCATAAGCGAAGATGCCAATGATGACGTATTGTTGACACTTGATGTAGATTCTTCTTGTTTATTGTCTCCCATCTTTGACACAAATATTATTTAATAGCTGACGACACAAATCAAGATTATTTCCTTTCTGGTGTGGAAGATCAGACTAAGCTGCAACCACAGAGCATACTCAGACAGAACCTTGACTCAGTTACCAAGATAAATCTTTTCTGATGTGGAAGATCAGACTATGCTGCAACCACAGAGCATACTTAGACAGTACCTTGGCTCTGATACCAATTGTTGCGGAAGCCAAATGTATATAGTGTGAATAAGTCACAACTACTATACCAAAAATTATGACAGCCACCAAATAATAAATAAGACAATAAAGCAACAATAAAGGGAACACCAGAATTTACGAGGTTCGGCTAATTTTGTCTACTCCTCGGACACAACCAATATTTTATTCCACTCCAAAAATACAAGTGAAATAATACTAAAGAGAGAAGATACAAATGCCTTAAACAGATGAGAAGGCAAATGAGAGGTGTGTCTAAATCCTAAACATTAAGCCTTCTTTTATAGGGAAAATTTCCCAACCAAATGGCTAACCCACCGATGTGGGACTTTGCCAAATTCAACAAGTAATACTATGCATATGATGCTTGAAAGTTTTGGAAGCTATTTTACTACAAAAGCGATAATTTCAAACTGTATTGCAGGAAATGTAAGCAATAATGGTTGCAAAGTGACCAGAAAAGTTTGGAAGAACACAATAAAGTTTTTAAGAGTAACTTCAAAGACAAGCAATTAGAGAACTTCTTTGACCTATGCTATTCTTTGGTGCTTTGCAGGAACTTTGCAATTAAATCTGCTATTTCAATAAAATAGATACTTGGATGTTCTTTTTTTCATTGGTGTAACTCATTATCAAATATTTCACTTTGGGTTCCATCTCCTCAACAAATATCTACGAATTGTTCCAAAAGTAATAGCAAAAATACCTGATGGCGGAAAACCATAAAAGCAAACGCAAAGAAGACAATGATGAAAGGCAGGAGTATTGGTGTGACCACTGAGTACACAAGGCCAAGTAGGAAGTACAGTTGTAAGCGAGGTTCTGATACAGAAAAGTTTAATGAACCAGGGTCCATTGCTTGCTCCCTGTCATGCTCTGTCTTCACCAGAAATGTGTTTTTAATGTGAAACATGACTAAAGGAACCAATCTAAGGATCTCTGCAGCAATTCCGGCCCAGCCATCAACCATTATGAAGGTAATAAAGAAAGTAGCTTTCATGGGAAGAGTTACACCAATAGTTTTTGGAATCCTGCAATTCAAGCAAATGTTAGTAATTGCATATACACTCAAGCGCCGAAGAATATTTGCTGAGTATATCATCAGTAACGAAAGGAGCGATCTCATCTCAGCTGCAGCAATATTATATGTTGATCACAGAAAGTAGTAAACCTTTAAATAAAGGAAAGCACTCCAAACAAATAGTGGTCAGCATGTTTATATATCATCCTTTTAAATGAGAAACGAAACTCACTCTGTTGGAGACTGGTCGAGAAACCTCTGAAGCTGTTGAAATGCAGCACCAGTAATGATACTTCCAAAGAACACATTGACAATGACAAACAAATGATATTTAGATGCTGATCTTCTGTCCAAAGATGAGAGCGATGTAAAGCCTTCTATTTTTGACATGGTCATTAGAATCATAGGAAGAAGAATCAGAAATATTTTCAATACAATCCCGGGTAGAAAACCTTGGACAAATGATTTGACAACATCCCTGTAGAAGAAATTCCAGCAGCGCGGACATTAGAAATTGACTTTTAATGTACAAGAAGGTCCACAAGTGCAAATATATTCAAAATAACATTTAAGAATTGACTCTATTCATTGCAATATAGCAAAAGTGACTCCATACAAGATGTAGGCAAGGTAACTGTTACAAGTAATTCACATTAACATTGAGGGGAACAACTCAATTACTAAGTGAAAAAACTTAATAGTTTATACGACTTCTTTACTTTCCAAGAAACTACACCTAATAGACGCATTACTTATGAATCGCTGTTGTTCTAACAGAGACAAATAAATTTCAAAAAAGCAGTCTTTCCCAAAGTTTAGCTCATTTGATCAACTCTAAAAGCTAATATAGAACAGGTAAAAACATTGTCAATCACATCCAATATATTCAGATGTTTTCTTACACTTTTTTTTTGAATTTAAAAAAAACTACAAGCACACATGTAGCAAATTTATCCGAGTTAGAAGTACGTACATTTCTATTAATGACTTCAGGAACGGAAGAACCTTTTTGATGCCATCAATGCTTGCAAATGCTTGAACGAATCCAATAGGGATCATAAAAAAGAAAGTAAGAAAGAATAAAGCAACAGCCATTAGCAGTCTCCGGACAGCAAGTTGAATATATGGTATTGAAAGATTATCCCAATAGACATCACGTGGTTCAGGAGCCCATTCTGTCAACCAATTGGTTGAGTTTCTTGATTGTTGTGTTTGAGAACATACAGCTGCTCCCCAACGAGATTTAAATGAGACAAATGCTGCAGGAACGATTGCCTTGGGATCAGTTATAACCTTTTCTCTTTCTTCAGCTTCCTACATCAAAGAGGAAAGCCAATTACTGTAGTGCCATGAAAGATTCGCTATAATGTGTTAACTTCTTTAAGCTTTCTCCACCAGCAAAATTTACATTTTGTTACTAATCTGTTACCTCCAAAGCATCATCTTAGCGATAGAAGGGGTCAAACCAGAAAAGTCTGATGGTTTATAGAAATAGAAATCATTTGATTCCCTGTACATAAGTGACATGGTACTTGTTTATACGTTGAACTTACGAGTTAAGGCTTAATTGTTGTTTTTATGCTACATTAGATTCAGTATTTTAGACTAGTTAGACACTTGTTGTAGTGTAGGGATAGGTATGAGATCTAGTTAATACCTTAAGTTGTGGTTAAGACACAAATTATTTTGTAGTTGTTTCATACTAATTGATTGATCAAATTGTATTGCATAACAATCTCAGGCTTTTGGAAGGCTTATCTGTCCTTTACACACAGTTCCCTATTGGTAGATTTATGTCTCTAGATTCAACCAAGTATCCATTGAAGCAGAGCGTGTTTTAGTTGCTTCTTCCTTAACATACATCTGCTGTGTACATCATTTGCTTTATCAACAGGCAGCTCATTTCACAAGAAATAAAAGAATGTAACATAACAAATAAATGAGTTAGCCATATAAAATAGACATAGGAATTAGAAGCGAGTGTAACCCATAACCCATGGTCGGAGAAACTTACTTCTTTGCCCAACTTCTCAATTTCAGTCATATAATAGTCGATGGCATCCACAGATTTTCCCCAAAGGCCCCAAAAGCCTGTCTATACATGACAGAATATGAGACTCAGTTATGAGCAGAAACTCAAAACGTTTAACAAGAAGCAGAAACAGGAAAATGAAATGGAAATAAAGTCTTTCTGAACAAAGCATAATACCTTAATTTTTGGCTTCTTCACAGGGTTTCTCTCATACTTGGTTTGGTAGTACGTAAGCCAATTACGGAAACTCTTTTTCTTTTCCACCAATTCAGCAAGCTTATTTGCATTGTAAACAACCTACAAGTAACATCAATTTAAGGTTCATCTGTTGTAGTAACTGCACAATACCACAGTACATAAGAATGAAAATGGTTCTACTCCTAAATTTCTCATAATCACTAAGCTAGACAGAACATATTTTTTTCTAAATAAATGCCAGACCACACATACTTTGACTACGTAACATAAACAGAAAGAGAAATGATATATCTTTGCCTGTCAAATACTGAAATACTTCGTACATAAATATTCTAATACAGTACAAACCTGATGTGACAGATAATGATCTGGATGATTCACGCGGAAGAAATGTTCAACGTGCTCGTCCACTGATTCATCAGGATCTGGTGGGACATTTTTAACAAGGACCTATGAGAGGAATCAGAATCGGTAACTGACCAAACATTGTATGTATAAACACTCGTAACATTTATGGTCAACAAAATACGTATGGCACCCACCGTGAACTGATCAGGCCGACGGTTTTCAGAGGCAAGAAAATGCAGTCTCATTGTTGATATTGTCTTGTATTCTTTGTACAAAATATAGAAGGTCCAAAATGTGAATACATAAGCCATCATCACGTGTGCCCAAAACCTGAAAGAATATGACAAGCTTTTCATTTAGAAAAATCTGCAAAGGCATAAGTCTCCTCCTTTAGCAAACCAAAAAAACATCAAATTTCCAACAACAAAAAAATATTCTTTGCATTCATTTACTATAATTTTGTGTGGAAACTATAATTACTAGGTTATCATGGTTAGTGTGGATATGGAAGGAGATATTGCAAATAAAGGCAACTGTAGTCCCTCGGCCTGCCAGCAATACTAAATGAAGAGCGCTACTTGGTACACTTTCTGTTTTTTGTTATAGAATTGAAGAAAACAAAGTACCGATTTTTTGTCACAGGTACATGACTACATGTTCATTAATATCTTTTACAAACATACGAAACATACATGAATTTATTTTTAATCCCTTTATTACAGCAACTTATAATTTTTGACAAACATATTAATGAATTCTGATGTGCATTTATTCATCAAGCTAATTATTCAATGTGGAACATACTCTACCAACAAATGCCTTTCATAAAAAATGGTCAGATAGAAACAAGTAGCCACTTACAACAACAAGATCAAGCTGAGGTGCTAATACAAAATGGAAACAAGTTAACCCTCACCTTTGTGATCCTGAAGGGACATTGGATATGGAAAGTCTATCAATATTACTGAATGTTAGATCCTCAATGTGCTCTAATGTTTCCCCAGCAGTCCAATTAACAGGCACTAAAACCGCAAAAGAAAGCATTGTGATAGGAACAAAGATTTTCAAGCTGCATTGATATTTCAGGAGTTAGATAATATACAAGGAACTTTGTAAAACAAGTTTCCAGTATCTTCTACTTATCCTTTGTTCTAAATTTCCAAATATAGCTCTTTGTTATCATCTCCTTATGAAATGCCAAAGGAAAACGCAAACCTTTTGGGACTCACCCAAGAAGGTAAATCCGTATATACACTGCAGAATCAAGACCAGCATGATCTATAAGCTCTTGTTCTGGCATTTTTAGAGCGGCAGGCATCCAGTTCAAGAACCTAATGTATGTTCTGAAGTCCAAGTTGACAAATTTATTCCCAAATGCTCCAGAACTTCTAGGACTTGCTCGTATACCCTTCAAATACCATTTAGGGAAGTACACTCTGTCATTGATTGGCTGAAGCCGTACAATTGCAAAGGCCAAAAGGAAAAAAAGTGCGGATAGTAGGTTGATCACAGCTGAAACAGAAATATCTTGAATGCTAGCCATGTCTCCCTTGAAATGTTAGCCGTCACTGCATCACCTGTTATTTGAGTGGAATCTTTTTAGAATATTTCTAAAGGAAAGGATAGGGTAAAATGAGCAAGTGTAGATCTCGCTGACATTATGCATATAAACTAAGATATACTACTTTGCTTTATCCTTTTCTTTTCTTTCATATTTCTCATTCTGGAACAAATCAATCTCCATGCTTACGACCCACTGTTAAAGATATAATGTGATAATGTCTGAAGGAGTCGAACATGAAATAATACTTAAGGAATTAGAACTGGGAATGATAAGCAAGCATAAAATTCATTGAAATTATACGTATGAACAAAGAGGAACTACTTTGCTTCTTTTTCTTTTTTAGTATTTCAGAAATGTTAACAGGAATATTGTTACTTCAGTTCCAGCAACTTTTGCTTTATTAGTAAGGACAGAAGAACGCTTGAACAATGGATCTGCAGCTTGAGGACACTCCTAACTGGGGAATTTTAGCAATTATCAATAATTTGACTATAGCATCCTCCAATTTTGACCATCAAAACTTACATAAGTCACCTAAACTTGTTGAAAACATGTAACATAATGACACGATTACTACTCAGTGTAGTAAGAAAATTCTACTATGTACTATAAATAGGAAATTCCTACAGGCTTCTGTGCTCACTGTAGAGAACAAATTAAAGAGATAACATAACATGTTAATCACCTATAACCTGGGAACTGTAAAAAGAGAAATGAAAGTCCAACTTCAGTTCTTTCAGAAAGCACTCACATGCAGGGGCGGAGCTAGAGTGCTGGGAACGGGTTCGGCTGAATCCAATAACTTTAATCCTAACCCTGTATTTGTTTTAAAAATTTATTAAATATATTTAAACTATTAATTAACTTAAAACGATTAAAGCTTGAAATTTTGGGTCCATCTGCACGCATGATAGTCAATATATGCCCATAATTAGGGAATGTGACATTGAGGGCTTGGGATAGCTGTGTCATTATGATGGTTGACTCTTAGAAAACATTCACCACTACTAGGTAGCCCGTGCACTAAGCTCCTACTAGGTCCGAGTAAGGGCTGGACCATAAGGATCTATTCTACGCAATCTTACCCTGTATTCTGCAAGAGACCGTTTCCACGGCTCCAACTCGTGACCTCCTGGTCACGTGGAGGCAACTTTACCACGTGGCAGCAACATTCACCACTACTGACTCATTGAAAAAAGAAGAAGTGATCTATGAATAAAGCAAGCCTGAAGAATTTTGATTATCCAATAGAACTGTGACTTAAAATTTCAGCTACAGAAGAATACCGAAGTACAAACTAACCAGAAAAATGCCACAGCCAGAGGGAAAGCGACGACGTCAGATTCTGGCACACAAAATCATCCAAAGAGAGAACACATAACAGCTATCGCCTTTCTTGTTATCATAAGAAGTCTGAAGAAAGGAAGAATTAGAGTTTGCTTTGAAAGAGAGGACATAGTAATTAGAGTTTCTTAGCTGGATGGAATTGGTCGGTAGCGGGACCTGAGAGGGCGGCAACAAGAATGGACACGGCACGGCCGGCTTTTGGAGGGACGAGACCATGGATATATATGCGTGTCATAACCGCGTTTTGAAAAGTTTCATGCTAAACGGATAGCACAATATTTAATTTCTTTAATACCAAATCTATACTATACTATAAATAATACTCCTTCCGGTCCAAAATAAGTGATTTTTTGAATGTTTTCACACAAATTAAGAAATTCACTTTTTTGCATTAATTAGCAATGGAATTGACCATATTAACCTTTACTATCTCACATAAACACTCCTAACACATATTACAACACTAGTTACTCCAAGGACAATGTAGGAAAAAAATAATTAATTCATTCTTGAAATCTGGAAAAATCACTTATTTTGGACCACAAGAAAAAGGCCAAAAAATCACTTATTTTGGACCGGAGGGAGTATATACATTATTAATTTCTTAATATGATTTACATATATTATAACAAGCTATTTTTATAATTTAACTTGATGGATTCATTAATGTAATATCTTCTCAAGATTATTTGAAGTGGAATAGTAAGTTTTGTCTCTACATTTGATATATAGTCAATGCCAAAATGTCCAACTTCTTACGTTGTTCCATTTTAGGAAGGCTAAATGGCATCGTGGCCACTTAAACTTGCATTAGTTTGCAAAATCGATATACAAACTTATATTTTTCTCATTTGAATACTTCAACTTAACAGAATAAGTACTAATAAACACATCTAATAGAGCGTGTATATCAATTGCACTGATATGTACAACACGTCATGTGCTAGACTATTTATTGTTTGACATGTGTTATTTGTGGGTCCCATTTCTAAAATTTATTCATCAAAATTTTATTTTATTTTTTTACTTTTCTTCTCCACTCAAACACCCTCCCTCCAAATCAGTAAAAGAAGCTACTGTCGGAAAAGCCTCCGGCCAACCCCAAATCCAAAATAGTAGGCGCTCCCTTCTTCTCTATAATCTCCATAATCATCTTCAGGAACCAATTCTTCAATCAAATCTCAAGAACCCAAATCAAATAAGAATAATTTGAAAGTTTTCAAAGTTTCTAAAACCCATAGACCTAATAAAGAGTCAAATATTATGAAAAGTTCTTCATCAAATAGTGGCTGGTATAGCAGTGAAGGAAGAGATTAAATTAGTGATAAAAGAGAGGATGCTTTTTCATCTTGTCTTCTGGTCGAAAAACAACTATAATTCGTTTGAAAACTATCTCGATAGAGAAGTTTGATTATTACAACGACTTTACTCGTCGGGCTACAATATGTCGTCGGGAAATCAACAATATCACAATGTATGTAAGATTTGAAAGAGAATGAGAAGAACTTGATAAGAAGAATGTGTATTAACTGGGAATAAAAGGAGAGGGTTTACTAGTAAAGAGAAGAAAGAAAGGGGAGGAGAGTACTGGCGGGGTCCTTTTTTCACTTTCTTTTTTATTTTTCAAATTGTTTTCCTTTTAATTTTATTATTTCTTAACCAGACTATTGGTTTCATGCGCATTTTCTACGTGATGGGCACTCATTTTGTCTACATCACCTATGTCACTTCCATATAAGCTTAGTCAATGATCAAAGTAGTTTATTTATACTCATTTCATCGAGTTAGAGCGTTCAAATAGAAAAGTGTAAATTTATGTATCGGGTTTACAAACTGTATGGATCAAAATTCGGTCTAGTGTGGCGAGTGCAAATGGACGAGCTGAGGCCTAGATTGAGATTACGTATAGTCTAGTAGCGAAAAGTCGCTCAAAGGGGAAGATCAGTGCCGAGGTCGGATATAGAGCAACGGTTACAACTGTTAGAACGTTCCTGTGACTATAAATGAGAATATTCTGTTGAATATTCCCTCACATTGTACCTTTCTAGGATTTTCTAGGAATATCCCTTATAAATAGGAAGAGAGAGAGAGAGAGAACAAAAAGGGGGATTCAAAACTTCTGTAAAAGAACATCCTGTAAAAGAATTGACTATCAAGAATATACAAAAAGCTTTCTGTCATTGCATGCTGTCACACGTTATCTCTGAAGAAGGAATCGTCCACCTCATCCAACATTTGTGTGACTCATTGCTTCTTATTATATTAAATGTCATTTACCACATTCATTGTATGCACTCATTCTCATATTTATTTCTAATCATTGAGCATTAACTCGGTATTCTATTGATTAGAACACGGTTCACATCATCTAAGTTGCTAAATTCGGATCTAGGATTTATTACTTTTAACTTGGATTCACCTCTTATCCATTCATTAAAATTGGTTTAACCAAAAAGGGCTTAACAATTTTTGGTCAAACAATTTGGCATCGCCTGTGGGGACTTCCTAGTTAAAAAGTTTAGTTTCTTCTAGATCTAAAAATGCAATAACAAAACATTTTCCTTCCTTGTTTGTACAAGCTAACCATGGCAGGAAAAGGAGAGGAAAGGCTGAAAGCAATGATGGGTGTCACTACTAACCTCCTAGGCACTATCAATGAGGTGAGCAGAGAGGACGTGGAAGATGTGACGCCAAGCGCCTCACCAAGACAAAGTAATTCACCCCCTCCTCATGGTAGTGTAACTGCTTCACATGAGAAGGGAATCTCCACGTCCATGACAGAAGAAGCACCACCCGTAGTGAAAAAGTTACTAGAGGCGTGGCTGACAAGTACCCTAAGCAGCATACTCGACAAACCCGCTCAAGGGGCGAGTAGGAACACCACAAGAGCGAACACCTCAGTAGTTTTCAACGAGCAACACGGCCCTCCCCAACAGGTAACACTCACACCGATGTTGATGTAGGCAACGACGCTCTCATAGCTGTTCTGAAGAAAATGGAATAAATGGAAAACGAGAATAAAGCACCTCACGACCAAATGAAGGAGCACCAAGAAAGGGTCGAAAAGATACCGGGCGCCCCGAAACTCCTGCCAACAAAGAGGCGTCCGCCAGTTCGTGGAACAGCCATACAGCAAGGAGGCAACCCCACATGCCATATCCAAAACTTTCAAAATGCCACCATATCTGAAAATATATGACAGCACAACAGACCCTTAAGACCATATTATTCATTACGTCATGACGGTGAAAGGAAACGACCTTTCGAAAGAACAGGTACCGTCTGTGTTGCTCTTTCCATAATGACAGGGGGAGCCTTGACATGGTACTCACAATTGCCAGCATGTTCCATAATGACGTTCGAAGAAATGGCCGACAAGTTCGTCACCGCCCATGTCGGGGCCAAGAAGGCAGAAGCTAGAGTAAATGACATATTCACTATTAAACAATTGCCTGACGAAGGACTCAAGGACTTCCTCGCCCGGTTCAATAGGGTAAGAATGAGCCTGCCAAATGTATCAGAAGGGATGGCGGTAGCAGCCTTTCAAAATGGGCTGAATAGGAATGGGTCGAGGGCGACCAGAAAATTATTAAGTAGACTCATGAAATACCCTCCCGCCACTTGGAAAGAAATTCACAATGCTTACTGCAACGAGGTGAGGGAAGATGAAGAGGACCTCAATGGTCCAACCCAACGGCTAACGACAATCCAAATGGAATCAAGAAAGGATTGACATAATGACAGCTGAAGATCACACACCTCAATCAGGAAATGCACCAACCATACAATAGAGCGACCATACCACTATCTCCCCGCCAAACCGAAAGGGCATCCCGGCCACAAATGGGAACTCATCGAGAGAGGTATTCCCCCACTTTTATTTGCTCACAATTTCTGTGTATCTCCCTCATAAATAGTCTACGCCCTGGAGAAGCTCGGTCCCAAGGTGAAATGGCTGCAAAAGATGAAGTCGGACCCAAACACTAGAAAGTCGAATGCCCTCTGCGAGTTCCATTAGGAACGAGGCCACAAGACCGAATATTGCATACCCTCCGGCAAGAAGTAGTGAACATGCTCCACCAAGGACATCTAAAAGTGTTGATGAGCGACCGAGAGAGAGACAATTTTGCCCGCGGACGAGAATTGCATCAAGGCCCCCCAAAACCACCCTCCCCCGCCCGCACCATCCAAATGATCATCGGCGGAGGCGTTGAAGCAACAATCAACCATGTGAAATTCACCACCACACAAATTGAAGCAGTCGATCACCCATGAACGGTACGATAACCTCGAAGATAGTATCATCTTCGATTAGTCAGATACCCACAGTTTGACCTTTCCTCATTTCGACGCTCTTGTCATTACTTTACAATTTTCGGATACTGATATAAATAGAGTCATGGTAGACGATGGGAGTGGCGCGTGTATTATCCATCCCAAAGTTCTCATGTAAATGAGACTCAAGGATAAGATAGTACCACATTGCATAACACTAATACGTTTTAACAATGCAGTTGAACGAAACTCTAGAGAGATAATATTGCCCGTACTAGCTTGGAGCGTCACCCTTGAAACAACGTTCCATATCATGAATCAAGACACCACCTACAATGCCATTATAGGGTGACCTTAGATACACGCCATGAGGGCCATCCCATCCAGTTTATACGAGGTCATCAAGTTCCCTACCCTATGGAGAATATTCAGCATCCGCGGTGAACATCGCACAACTCAAGAATGTTACCGCATCACCCAAGATTGCATATACACCTAACAGTTAAGAGAGGAAGGCTCAGGAGCATAGCAATTACCAAAGTCGGGGCCCGAGTCTGATGAACAAATAGATGTCGTTAAAGACCCCGACATCGTGGAAGCCACAGAGTCAATAGTGGAAGACCATGATCCCGTCCAGCTGGACGAAAGCGATCAAGCAAAAAAGCCTACATCAGCCACAAACTCACAGAGCCAGGTAAATTCCATAAATTTTTAACTAATAACGCCGACATGTTTGCTTTCTCCCATGCAGATATGCCAGGTATACCGAAAGACATCGCAACACACAAGCTGAATGTCGATCCACTCTACCCGCCAGTACGATAAATGAGAAGAAAATTTATTGCTGCAATCAATGAGGCCGTCCACGAAAAGGTAGAAAAATTGCTCACCAACAGTTCTATTCGAGAGTCA